AATGACCAGAAACAAAGACAGCAAAAATTGTAGAGTAAATGTCCACTACCATTAGTGTTTAGTGGAAAAGTGCCCTTGTACATTAGTGATCAATGGAAAAGGGCCACCTCACATTAGTGGCCAGTGGAGAAGGGTGACTTAGGGTTCACGCTGATAGATGTTCTAACTAGGGATGCACCAATACCGGTACCAATATTATTATTTTTCAGTACTTGCCGATACTGAATAAAGATACCAGAAGTCCCATTAGGGAAGCTGGGCGGCGTGTAATGACTCGCCACCCAGCTTCCTGATTAGCTGAGAAGCAGTCTCTATACTTTCTGGCCCCCGACTTCCTGATTGCCCGGGAAGCCAGCTCCATGCTCCCTGGTGACAAGGGAGCATGGAGCCAGCTTCCCAGGCAATTAATAACTCACCGCCCGGCTCCCTGATACCAGAAGTTCCGGTATCGGGAGCATTCTCGTCCACTAAATACTCAGTATCTCCAACGATACCGATACCAGTATCGGTGCCTCCCTAGTTCTAACCAAATGCTGCATTTTCCATTCGAACACATGCTGTTGCACTTGAATAGTAAACACAGAGTTCGACAAGAACAAGCTGGATTTTGACATATTTTGCCTGCAGTTAAAAAATGTTGCATCTGAAGAAAGGCAGCGCAACGCAAAGCAAGTCAAACACATACTCTGATCTGCCATGTGTCTGCTTAATTAAAGCCAATGGGAATTTGCGGACTTGTCTTTCAGGTTTGTTTTAAATGCATGTCAAACATAGAAAATGGCCATTGACATGAACTCTTAGATTGGGAGTCGCTAGAAAAAAAAGGTTATATGAATGCATCCTATAAAACATGAGCAGAAAAGTCTGTTCTCATGCTTTAGAAAAGGACCTTGCTCTTTATGTGGAAGCAGTGATCTCTCAGCAGGATTCAAACACGCAGCTAGCTAAAGGTGCCCATACACCTTACAATTTATCTGCAGATTTTCTGTGGTCAGATGGAAAAAGTGCAACAGATTGGCCCAGGTGGAGATTACTCCATCCACACAGTTAAGTGTAGATGGAGGAATCTGTTGCACCTTTTCCATCTGACCACAGAAAATCTGCAGATAAATTGTAAGGTGTATGGCCAGCTTTAGTCAGAGCTGAATGTAGAGCCATAGGTCTTGTGACGGACTCCCTGGCACCCCGACTGAGCACCTCCGTCAGTGATATGGCTTCCCAAATGGAACGTATTCCAAACCCTGTTACCATTACCTCAAGAATCAGGCAGCACTCATTTTGAGGTAAGCAGAATGACACAAGCTTTTATTAACACCAAGCATTTGAGTTTTATAGAAAGAGGCCCACCCCCTCCGGTCTAGAACGAACCGGTATAAACCACTTTGTAGGAGGCTGCTTTGTCCCAATACACACTTCGAGTTGGGAGTCTAACAATGGGCTGATTAGTTTAACTGATAGGTGGGGATGGGAGGATAAACAAAGAGACATACACACAGTGCCTTCCCCAGCGTTAGCAATACACAGCCTGGATTTGTCACAGGTCTGACTTAGCCCAGGGTGTGTTGGACCTCTGCAGAGAAACTACTGCTTCCACACAGAGAACATAGGAAAATGGCCATTGAGATGAACTCTTAGATTGGTGGTCAGTTGGAAAAGGACCATTTACATTGGTGGCCAATTCAGGAAGCCTGGCTGAGATAGGCTGATTTAGGGCTCATTCATACTACAACTTGCATTATCTCCCATGCATGAAGGTAATAAACTGTAACATAATGTACACTGCCTGGCTGGAAAAAAAAAGGCACACACTCGAATATACACAATAGCATTGTGTTGATAGGTTCTTGTAGTAATGATGGGAGAGTCGGACCACTGCATAACGGTTTCTCCAGCACATCCCAAAGATTCTCAATGGGATTAAGGACTGGAATTTGTGGTGGCCAATCCATGTGTGAAAATGATGTCTCATGCTCTATGAACCACTCTTTCACAATTTGAGCCCGGTGAATCCTGGCATTGTCATCTTGCAATATGCCCGTGCCATCAGGGAAGAAAAAAATCCATTGATGGAAAAACCTGGTCATTCAGTATATTCAATTAGGCAGCTGAACACATTTTTTGGGGGGACATAACCTAGACCTGAAAAAGTGAAGCAACCACTGATCATAACACTGCCTGAAATCTAGGTGGTAACTTTTTTTAAGCCAGGAAGTATATGTGTGTTCCTCTTTGTTATTTGCATCTCAACACACATACAGTTTCTCATATACAGTTACATATTCAAATTATCTATGTGTTGCAGTGAACTTTGAAAAATAAAGCAGTAAATATATTTAGGCGCATTTATACACCACTCAGAATAACTGGCCTGGCCAACAGAATGCGTTTCTGTGCACATAAATTTGTGTGAAGAAGTGCACCATGCTGTAGTGTGAAAAGACTTTGTGGACCTTACTAAAGCCAAGATAGTAAAATTGCCACAAAGAGCATTCGTTGAGTGCAATAGCCAAAAATCAGTAAATTATAAACACAACAGTTAGTGAATATATTTGCATTAAAATGGCCACATTAGCTTATTTTGTCTAGAAACGTGAATAAGTGCTTCCACTTCTGTAGATAAAGAAGCTAGGTGTACCATCTGTGAGCCGCTGCGAACCTCTGATACAGTAAAAGAATAATGTTACTCTCTGAACCCACCTTCATGAACACAAGGGAATGATAATCAAGTATAAATGTAGGATTTCCTGCCTTTATGCTGCATTGAGTAAACATAGAACGGATTATATTTTGAAAAAACAAGGTTTGCAGGGCTTGGGAACACTGCTATTTTCACTATCCTTAACTATCGTAAAATGCCCAACTGATGAATACTGAATTATCTACAGTAACCTAATTTAAATTCTTTTTTTTTTGTGAGAAAAATAAGCATTTCACTTAAGTTCCAGTATCTAAGGCCAGTATGTTAGTAATGTAAACGTGATAAGCACTTATGAAATAAACATAAAAGAGGATTACGTTTGCTCGGCCCATGACACTGAGTGGGATACAGATGGTGGTGGTAGTATGTTATTGTTACCAGAAAGAATTTAAGAAGTGGCCCCAAGGGATTGTAACCCCCTGCCCCCTTGAACCCTCTAGTCATTCAATATCACTTAAAGCGGACCATTAGTATAAGCAAATATTGTCTACATTTAAGAGCCATGTATATCGTTACTTGCATCTTGGTGTACTTTGTGTATTTCTTCCAGATCTGTGCAGTAATCAATTGTGAAACTTTACCTCTATGCAGGCGCTTCTTATAACAAAGACTAAGCACTGCTGTGCTCTCTCCTTATGCAGAATGACTGGTCTGGTCTCTTGATTCCCCCAATTTGTCAGTGGACAGTGTTGGTAAAACAGTCAATTTGGCTATATAACATTTTCAGGTGCTTGAGCCCTATGACCACACTTGCGGGACTGTTTAGTTACCAATGCTACGCTACCTATTCAGTAAAGGGTCAAATAAAATTGTTTTTAAAAAAGGCCAGATTTTTGAAAAAATCCTTTATTTGAGAAAAAAAAACGTCTAAAAAGACAAGTTTTTGACGTCTTTTATTTAAAAAAAAAAAGCATCCACCGGCATAATCCAGCGTCATTCACGATGTCCAGCGTTGTCCACGACAACTCGACAAAATAAAACAATAAATAGAAATAATAATTTTTTTAAAAACCCGACGACTGCCGTCCTGTCCGTTTGTGACGATATCACTCGCCGCAGAATGGCATTTTGACAAATGCCGGCAACATATAAACAATTGAGCGGGGCAAGCAGTGTAACGGCAACCGCCGTCGGCCCTCAGCAGAGGATCGGGGGTTGCGGGATTCTGCCACTTCTCGGACCCGGCCTCCTGCGCCCCAACGGTGGAGCGCACGCATCCGCTTCCGGGTTCGGAGGCCGGATGCGTTCCACCGTGGGACGCGGAAGTGCGCCGCTCCGATCAGCGGCTCCTCCCCCAGATTCTTAGCCCTATAAAAACGCCCCAGTGAGACAGTATGGAGTTCTACTATTGAGGACTGAACGCCTGCTGTCTCCTGGGACCCATCAGCTACTCTAACCTTTGCTGCCAGCTACCATACCTTGGATGAGAGACCACAGGACCCCCAGCTCCACATCACTCTTAAAACTGCAAGTAGTTGTGCATGCTGCACCTCCACCATACGATATAGACTGTATATCCTCTTGTCAATACCATCTCCTGCCTACATCTACAGTACTTGGAAATTCAGCATTGACTCTTTATTTGCATACTATCCTGGAGTACTGTGACATCCTTACTCAATTTTTGCTTGCTTTGATATTGCTGTGTGGGATCAGGTTTATGAAGTAATAACCCTAATCAAACCTTATAGTATATTATTTTGGGCTGTGATGCTAGAACCCTAACTCCCCGTTAAGTTTGGGAGTGAAACCAGGGATTCGTGCCTGAGAAACTCCGCAGTTGTGATCCACAACCCCCAATCCAAAAGACAGGCGTTACAAGCAGTGACAGAAAGCTCCGCCCAGCTGTTTACAGTTGTAACAGGTGAGCCATAATTGGGCAACGTCATCATGACTTTGCTCAATCAGGGCACAGAGGCCTGCGAGAGCCATGATTGGACAAAGTCTTGCACCTGACCTGTGGTCAGGTGCAAGGCTTAGCCAATCAGGCCTCAGAAGACACAGTGCCTTGTGGGGCACTCGGCAGGCTGTTCGAACACACGAGCTGCCAATGTTCAAGTCGATCTCACACTTGGCTCGAACATCGAGCCCATCACTATTAGTTTTCTCAACACAGTTATAAAAACCCAACGGCCTAACATTTTCCCACAACTATCTACATAAATGACATCAAAGGCTGTCTTGGTCGCTGGGCTGAGAGGTATAAAGCAGAAATACAGCAATGATTATAGATGTATGGTTTAAAGAGGAAACCCATTCGCATGGGGGAACAGAATGGTGATGAGTATACAAGCAAACTTACCAAACCAGCAATAGGTGTTGGTAATCTGTTTATCTTCTTTATAAGTCCTGGTTTAATTGCATTCAACAGCCTGCAAAAAAGGTATAATAAAAAGGAGAGACATTACTTCTAGAGCATTACATAGTAACAAAATATAGATAACTAGGGCAAGATTGATCATAAATACGCATACAAGACGTAGGAATAAAAAGAGACTAAATGATACATAAGACACACCTATGTGACTTAAAGTTACAAAAACATTTTTTCGGAATTATAAAAAGCACACACAAAAGCAGTCCAGTCATGTGACCAGCCTCTCCTCCAATCACATAGTATTTTCTGCAGCATTATGCAGAGAACGCTGTAATAAACACCTCAGACTCCATACTGTGCCTGTGTTTCATGAATAAAGCTGGCCATACCCCAGTCGAATTTCATAGAAAACAAATTTGGAACGTTTATTCGATTTTCTAATAGTTAATGGGGTCAAACTGACAATCATTTTCTAATATAGTGACAAAAAAACCCCCCAAAAGAGCAGGATGGGAAATGTTTCCAAAACTAACGAAAGTCTATCAATCAGCGAATGTGTTTTTCGCTTTAGAAGCTCCATTCCAAAAATGAGTGTTAAAATCAAACAAAATTTCAACCACATTCATGAAGTCTCTGAAAGCATTATGAAATGTTCCGACGACCGTCTATACGAAAATCTACAAGTGTATTGCCAGCTTTTCTTATAAAATGCAGGAACGGTGTAGAACACACACCATGGTGTTAGCAGACAGCAGTATCCACTCTCCGCTATAAATGGTCCACTTAGGCTCAAGTCACTATGCTATGACATACAGTATGTGTGGCTTATCTTCAGGTTTTATTGGCTCTTACTGCTCATAACAGTGGGCGATTTGGGAAATAGCAATTGATATAGTTTAGTGAACTGAAATAATTAATAGAAAAAGAGTGAGAAATGCCGAGGGGGGAATTGATTAAAACTGGAGCAGACATAATCTGGAGCAGCTGTGAACAGACATGCTGATTGGTTGCCATGGGCAACTGCTCCAGATTTTGTCTGCTCCAGTTTTGATAAATTCCCCTCATAGTGTCTAGTTAACGGCAATCACCCGTGTTATACCAGGTATGAAACGAATATTGATCAAAACATTTATAAAACAGATATAACAAAATGTTTTCAATGGTAAACCTAAAAGACAAAATAAGAGAAGTTCATTGTTTGGGTTTACATACACTTTCGGTCAACACTACATTTGCCATACTAGTTTATAATTAAGTTTATAATTAGAAAACAAACAAACATGAAGTCTCAGAATCATCCGGATACTTAAAGTGACACTAAACTCAGTTTAACCACTATTGGATGAAAAAAAAAACCATAAATAAATCACAGGTCTAGCGCTCACTTTCCACTTCCAAATATGGTGTCAGCATGAATTCAGAGATGATTTCAGGATCTACAGCTGAGGGATACACGTGTAAGCTACACATATATACTCATGAGTTTAGGGTCACTTTAATGTATGATCTGAATACATAAAATCTGCCTTTTTTCCTCCATGTTCAATTGGGTGTTAAGTGTGGACTCATAAGAAGCAAACTGCAGCAATCAAAATTAATTTGTACTGACAATACTTCAAACTGAAACCTGATCAGTTGCTATTGATTACTGAACTCATAAATTAGATGCTGTTAATTGGTCTCTATTGGCGCTCCATAGATGGACAGTTTTGGAGAAAAGGGAAGTAGAGGGGGTTGAGCTCAAAACAGAAACCATCACTCAAAACGTAATATTTCAAGTGAAATTTCGATCTGGGACAGGAAGGATTCAGTGTAAAATATTTTCAGTGTCAATAAGCTCAATATCAAGGTTTAGGACATTTAAGGGGTTACGTTTAAGGGTTAATGGATACACACATTTTATTCACATTTGTTTTCAGGTCAGAAAACCCCAAAAACCAATGTAGTGACCCAAAGGGATGGACAGTTGTTAGTTGTGATATAGCAGTACGTTGTTCAGTTTATAAACACAGACATATGACTTTTAGGTGTGGTGGGAATGTTCCTCTTGGATGTGGATTAAGTACATGCTATGATTCTTGCTTAATTTTTGAGAAGTTGAAAAAGCAGCTGGATCTGGCATAGTCACAGTCACTAGTTCACTACTGCCAATGTCATCCAACTCTGCTGGAAATGTTCTCGGAGAACGATTAGGAAACCATGATAACCCGCTCTGCTTTCTGAAAACACAGCAACAGATAGGATGGGCTTAGTAAGCTTTGCATTTTTGGATTCTCACAAATTCTAATCACAGCCGAAGAGACAGAAGTGTCTAAAAGTGTTGAGACTTCAATGTCCTGGAAATCATCCCAGGCAACAGAGGAAGGAAGGAAATTGCAACTGTAACACATTATAACAAGGCCCCTGGGCACAGATTACATTTTCCCTAATATGACAGTACTCCAAGCAACCTGAAATTAAGGACACTTCACAAGGACAAAAAGGCAAGTGGCTCTGTAAAAGTCTTTAATATGTAACAGGGATCAGAAAAGTAAACTTTAGCTCATGGCCCCCATAAGGGTAGTGTGATGGAATAAAACAATGGAGTGATACAGTCTGTTAGAGCAAGGTGCATATGAACCCAAAAAAAAGTGTTTTACTAAACTGTAAAAATACCAGAAAACCACATGTCTCAGCCAACGCCATACGGATGAGTTCACTGCACTTGTTTATAAAGGGAATTACAGAAAAGTATACATTCTTATTCCGACTTCAGCTGTGTTGTACAATCTGTTTTAGTCGTGAGGTGGGATAGGCTTCACTGAAGAGATGAGTCTTAAGGGATCGCCTAAAGGCAGTCAAGGTGGGAGACAGACGGACAGGTTGGGGTAAAGAGTTCCAGAGGATGAGAGAGACTCTACAGAAGTCCTGTAAAGCAGGAGGTCTTGGGATGAGCGGAACAGATGGCTAGGGTGATACTTTGAGACGAGGTTTGAGATATAGCCGGGGGCAGAGTTGTGGATGGCTTTGTAAGTGATTGTTAATATTTTGAATTTGATCTCCTGGCTCTTGAGCTGTTGGGTTATACAGAGAGTCTTTTCTCTCAAAAATAAAAAGAACAGAAATGTGCAACCACTGCCCCACCACCAGTATAGCACACGCACCCAGCCATCCACATGACAAGAAAACGAGATTCATCAGACCATATAACTTATTTCACAGCAAATTGGAATTCTTTGGAAAAAAAGGAGGGGCACTAATAATTTTGGCCACAACTGTGATTTTTTATAAATATTGGACTTTGCCTTTGGTTTTTGATTCAGCAGAATATTGTAAATCACAAAACAAAAGAAAATGGCATGGACAAAAATGATGGGAGCCTTAACCTAATATTTTGTTGCACAATCTTTAGAGGCAATCACTGCAAGCAAATTCTGTAGCTCTCACTGGGATGTTTCCAACAGGTAGCTTGGCCCACTCATCTTAAGCCAGGGATGTCCAAACTCCGGCCTCCAGCTGTGGTGAAACTACAAATCCCATGAAGCATCTCTCTCTGGGAGTCATGTCTGTGGCTGTGAGAATCTTGCAAAGCCTCATGGGATTCGTAGTTCCATCACAGCTGGAGGGCCACAGTTTGGACATCCCTGTCTTAAGCAAAATGCTACAGCCGTTTCAGGTTTAAAAGGTGCCTTTTCTGGGCTGTATGCTTAGCTCTTCCCATTGATGTTGAATAGGATTCAAATCAGGGCGCATAGAAGGGCACTTCAGAATAATCCAATGTTTTGTTCTTAAGCCATTCTTGGGTGTTCTTAGCTGTGTGTTTTGGGTAATTTTCCTGTCGAAGGAACCATGATGACCTGCAATTGAGACAGATTTTTTACACTGGGTTGTATGCTTCACTACAGAATTCCTTGATAGTCTTGATATTTCATTATACTCTGCACAGATTCAAACCACCCCTCATGCCAGATACAGCAAACCAGCTCGATTTGTTCATCTGTGACCACAAAGCTGATGCAACTTGACAAAAAGCTCCAGTTTTGTCTCATCTGTCCAAGGGACATTTTCCAGAAGTGTTGTGGTTTGTCATATGCATTCTATCAAATTCCAGTCTATCTTTTTCATGTTTTTATTTTAACAGTGGAGTCCTCCTGGATCTTCTTCCTTTGAGCCTGCTGTTGCTCAAAACATGACGGATGGTGAGATCAGCTTGTATCTCCTTGGAAGTGTTACATAGATCATTGTCTACCATTTGCACTATCCTTCTATTCAACCTGGGGTCGATTTTCCTCTTTTGGTCACATCCATGGAGCTTGGCTTCACTCCTATATATTCTTCATAATATTTGCAACTGTAGTCACAGAAATATCAAGATGCTTGGAGATGATTGTATACCTTTTATCTTTGACATCCTGGTCTATCATTTTCTTTTTGATCTCTTTAGACAACTCGCTAATTTGCTTTACATGTTCAGTGAGGTACACACTGTGATACCAAACAGCAGAGTTTACATTTTCTCCATTTAAAATGAGCTGACTGACTTGTTACAAGATAAAAACATGTGTAATACTTATTACAGAAACAGTTTGAAATATCACTATGATCCCAGCTATGCTGATCATTCAGAATTTATATGCCAAAAATGATTGGTTAAAGCCAGAATTGTTATTTTTTTTCACCATTACTTTTCCTTTGTACAGGCTTTTGGAAATAGCAAACACAATACTTAGGAGATGAGATAAAAGGTTTTAGCGTAGAATAACACTTTTGGTAGTTAAATAGAACATTTTCAAAGGTATGTGCACATGTGGAACAACTGAAAGAGGGAAAGAGGGATTTGGGGCAGCTGGGAGGTATGCACCTGCCTATGCAGTGTGACTGGAGAGTATAAGAAAGACTGGCTGAACAGAATTTAAAATCTTTGACAAGCAAGCCATAGATATATATACTTCAACTCTGTATTTAGTCATTTGGCTGGAGTTCTACAAAAATGTCACAAAGTTATTAAAAAAATAAGTAATTTAAAGTTTTTAAATGATTTGTCTTATATGGCTGTGCTGCACTTTAGAATGTATT